ACATAAAGCCACTGTCTGGTTAAAATGAGGCAAAAAAATATGGTTAATATGAGGCATAAAAAATATGGTTAATATGAGGTATAAAGCCACTGTCTGGTTAATATGAGGCATAAAAAATATGGTTAATATGAGGTGTCATGGACTAATTATTTATATCTGTTTCGCCTTGACACTGTCCATCACTCGTATCTTTCTGATAGCTCATTTCGGCTCGTAGTCTGTTTGTTTCCGGACGTCAGGACTCCGCAGCAGACTGAACTCTCTTGTTTGATAACAGACTCTTTGGGCTGGGGGCCCAGTCATAGGCTGGACAGTATATTTGGCAATCTGTGATTGGTTGTAAACTGTCACATGGTATTAACATAATGTTATATTACTGGCTGTWTTCTGCTGACAGTCAGTTACAATCATGCAGAACTTTCTGATTCAGTTCTGTTTGTTTGTCGCTCATAATTAAATCATATTTGATTATCATACACGTAGACTTTTCTGGCAATTATTCCAACGTGTTTCTGCTTTTTGTGACGACATGAGGCATAAAAAAATATGGTTAATATGAGGCATAAAAATATGGTTAATAAGAGGCATAAAGCCACTAAGGTTAACTTTAAAGCAAATGACATGGTTAGTGCTAAAGACACCGCCCTCCAACTGTTGTATATTGTGGCCTTCCAATAGGGCAATGGGTAGAGTGTCGGACCAGAGARTGGGAGACCAGGGTTCGAGACATGGATACAAAACATTCATTACATTTTTTGGTTATTTACACATTCATTGTCATTGATATATTAACCCACTAGGGGGCACTGTCGGGACCGTCTGAAGCCTAAAAGGCACAGTAGGGACCCTCTGAAGCCATTGTATGGGACTGATAACGCCTAATAACGTCCATTTCATGGACTGATAACATCAGAATCCCCCGAATTAACTCTGAAAAGTTTAACACTGCAAATTTAACTCTCCATTTTTACTGTATGCATGAGACGCTTTGATGCTCTTATAAAATTACACCAGAAACAGGAAAGAATTTATAACTGAGCTGTTGTTCTAAACTTTAAATGCAAATAAAATAAAACAAAATAAAAAGATGAGGATGTAAAATGTCACATGTAAGGGCTCATCCATACAGGTATCACGTTTCATGTAGGGAAACCTTTTTAACGTTGCATGCAAGGGACACTTTAATGCTGCCATAAAAAAAACAGGTAAGAATTTAAAATTGAGCTGTTGCTGGTGGTCCTACAATAGAAAGACATTTTGGTTTCAGT